GTTCAGTCAATTAAACAATTAAATGTAAGATAAAAACAATAACATTATGCAGGTGGTTACAAAAAAACATAGTTAAAAATTCAATTTTATTTGTATGCTAACAAATAACCATATTCTCCCAAATATATGAAATTATTTTTATGTGTTTCTAGTGGATTTCCCAACTTTATTATCTTGAGTTCACTTTTAGAAAAATAAAAAAGGACAACAAAAACACCTATAAAAAATATTTCATTAACTGTGACAAAACAATTTCATTAGCATTTTCAAACAAAAACAATGAAATAATTAATAATTAATAAAACAATTCATGAGCAATTTCATTAGCATTGCTTATGTGTGAACTACAAATGAAAAGTTTATTGGTGATTTTAAAAATACTTAAAACTCAATAGTTTTCTACACTTCTCATTGCATCCTTTTTTTTCGATTCATTACAATAGCCCTCCTTATCCTGTTGATACAGCATCTCTCTAAAAGCCTAAGCTTTTCTATCCTGGTTCTATTTCTTATCAACCTCTACTCCACCAAGTAAATAAACCCACTCATTTATAATTTAAGTTAATTTATTGAAATTCATATATAGTATTTGTATATTAAGTGTTTTACTTGTTTTATAATGATAATTTAATTGTATTAATGTATTATTTGTATTTTTAGGGTTTGTTTGGGTTTAGAAAAAATAGATTTAATTTGTCATTTGATGAAACTGAGTTTGACTTTGTAACTAAAGTATATTAGAATTAGAAAAAATGATGGGTAATTTAATGAATACCAATTATTTTTTATCAATTTTATGGTTAATTTGGAAAGTTAGGGAAATTTGGTTTTGTGTCGAAATGGTAATAATTAAAGGTATTAATTTTGGTTGAAAAAGTTTGAAATGAAAAAAATATTGCATAATTAGTTGAGTCCCAATTAATTTTAATTTTAGTCAATTATGGATTTTTTGAAAATTTAGAAAAAAAAAAATAAAGTGGAACTAATAGATAACAATTAGGGTATTAATTTGTACATGTTATTATTCTTAAATTGAGTAAATAGTGGATAGCTAGTTGAGTACTATTTATTTATTTTGTCAATTTTATGGTTTAGTTGAAAATATAGAAAAAATTAAATTTGAGTGGAACTAATAACAATTAGGGGCTCAGCATGTTTAAAACTTATAAAGTGTGTGATAATTATTATATTATGAGTTATATTTTTCTAAATTGAGAGAATTGAGTTATTTTGAAATTAAAAAGTATAATGTGTTATTAAGTTATTAGTTGGTTTGTGTAGGTTAATTGTGATTTACTTTTAATAAATAATTGAATTTGTGTCTGATAATATGTTTTAATTTTTAAATTATGTCCATTGTTTCCAAATGTATTTAAAAAGAAACAAGTCTAAATCAAACAAAAGCACTCTTGCTTCATCATATAGTAGTGTTAGTGATTATGTTATGAATCTAAAGGATAATTATGAAGATATACCTAATGTAAATGTTATTGATGAAGGCTTAACCATTAAAAATAACATATCAAGCATCACCAGTTTGATAGTGCCTATTCCAAACAAATGGATAATAGAATAGAATGATAATCCCTTTATGTAATGGAATGATAACCTCTTTCTATGGAAATAACTTTCTTAAATTAATTTTTAACATTACCATTATTAAAGCTACACATTTCATCACCTATATCATAAAGTAGTCATTATTTCAATAGAATGAACTCCATGATCATCTTGAATAGATGCGTAACACCCTAAATCTTTTAGGAAATTTGAATCTTTTTATTTTTCATTTACATGAAATTTAGAAGTAATTTATTTTATACATCCATAAGGATTGCTTTAAACTCAGCAATAATATCATTAATAGATACATTAATACTCAATCTCTAATTACACTTTTTAATTTATTCATAAGAATTTTATTTACAAACATTCATTATAGAATACTAGAACTTATTCAATATAGGAGAACTAAGTAGTTCAATAATGCTTTATAGGGATAATTTATAATTGTTGTTTATAATTTGTACAATTAACCTCCCTGTGGTTCGACCCCGGTCTTGCCGGGTTATTTATTACTTCGACACTCCTGCACTTGGGAGAAGACATCAATCTTTTCGTCGTGTCACCTCTCAAAAATCTTCTTCAAGTAAAAAAATATAACAAACATTTTCAACAATCAAATCTCATCAATTCCTGAATTCTCATATCTACTTTTTAGTACTCATGGGCAGCATCAAACCTACCTATACTTTACATATTTCATTAATATATAAACATCTATACCAAATAATTATTAATATGACATATAATCATCATATGCATATAGTCAATATTGCTAATATCAATGATCCTTTTTTTTATTTTGAATCTCAAAAGTTAGTTTCTTATCTTGGATACTCAAGATTCTATTTATCATTATTTTCTTGATATTCAAATCCGTAATCTCTGCATACATGAATGATGAACCAATTTTAATATCAATAAAATTGATATCATCAATTTTCATACACACTTGGATGTCAATATTAATTATGTTGATATCATTAGCATTCACTAGTATGGATGACTAATCAAGTTATTTCAATTGATTGCCCAGTTCATTCCTATTCTTACTTCTTTTTTTCCTTCTTTATCTTTCTTTAAAGGTATCAAATATTTACACAAAAAACAAGCATAATTCACTTAATTTAACTTAAAAAGTAAATAAGTTAAATGTCATAACTATAGTCTCATCAACACAATGGACTAAGTATCATTTTCATAACCTTATTCATGTCAATATGGTCAACTAAATATCAATTAACTTATCTGATTTTATAGATAATTAATTTATTTATGTGTGTGTGATCAATTTAGATTTACATATGAATGTTCATTGTTGTAGTTGATCACAAGCTATATATATACATATTAATTTCCAATGTTGTAATCGTGTTGTAAGCTTTTGACATAGTAATATTTTTCATGTTTATCAATAACATTCATATAATAATAACATTTCTCCTCCCATAGACAATATTTACAAAACAATATTCCTCCTGATCATAGGTAATATTCTCTTATGATACACAATTGATTAAAAAATTTATAATTTATATTACATTCTAGCAATATAAAAAAATTAAATAATTAAAAAAGCAAGGGAATAACCCTTAACTTAAGGTCTTGTTATATAAGATTTGGAGAAGTTGGGTCCCATTATGACCTTCTTTTTTTCAATTGTCCAAACAACAATATTTAATGCTTACATTATAAATTTAAATATAATCATAGAAATTTTAATATATCTCAAAATCCCAATTAATATCCTTCTATTACAATCACCAATTTATATTACATTCCTTAAGATAATTCATGCTATCAATTTAAACCCTTACTTGAGTTTTACACTTCCATATCCCAAATTCTATGTTTAATACTTTACAAATCAACAATTAATATTTATCTTATTCATATAATGTTTTGACATAGAAATTCCTATTATTTTCACAATTTCAATCAAATGTTCAAACTCACACATATTTATTTATATCATCTCATACATATTTATTTTTATCACCTTATGTCTTTACTATAAATATTTTTTATTCATTTTTGTAATTTAATATCCACATGTTATGTGTATGTTCAACTTTCTTAACTTTTTGTCAATGCATTTCTATATTCAAATAATATTTTTTTTTTTTGTCAACAAACTTCAATGTGCAAATAACTTAATTTTTCATTAATAAATTTCAATGTTTGACATTTTATCAACCACATAGTGGCATTAAGTTTAAACTATCTTATACTTGGCATTTTAACATAATTCTCAATATAATTAAATCAAACAATCAAGATCAACTTACCCAAATTACCCAAAAATTAACTAAATTAACAATTTGACCCTTCTTAATAAAATTCATCATTATTATCAATATAAAAAACACAACACACATTCTAGTTTAACAATTTTTCGTACTATAATACACTTTTCAACTCTAATGTTGGGTAATCAAATACTTTCGCCATCATTAAAACATCAAAAACAACATAATATAACAAATTTCCAACTCCCCGAAAAATTCTCGGTCAATCCTAACATTGTTGGCCACTTATGGATTTTCTATCAATATTTCTCCCAACTCTACTCTATCTAAATCCCATATAATATTTCTCACACACACATCAAGTTAACATACAATTTCATAAGATTTCACCCAATTCTTTCATTTTCATACTTCCCAATATAAATTCTTAGAGTTTTAATTATATATTTATTAATAAGACTTTTAATAAATTATTTAATTTTCAAAACAAAAGAAAACAATTTGAGCAAGAACCGACTCCAATGGTTAATAAATTTGCCTTAAGCGAAAACACTTGTACCTATCCTCCTTGTAATCCTCAAATATGATTAGATGTAATACAAGTAATATACCTGGTAGAAATCAGAATTATAATATTGGTCTTAGTACTAGGGATGGACTCACAATTTAAATTTTAGGCACACCACGTTGACAAGGACGGGCGGGTGTAGAAAAACTTCGCACATAACCAATCACAATTTGAATCCTTTTCTTATTACTCAAACTCATTTATATTACAGCTATCAAATCAAAAAATACATATTCAACCCAGATATTAAATATTTATAGGATAATTTATTAATTGAAATTAATATTAAAAAATTTACAATAATGACGAATAAAAAACAAGAAAAGGATTCCATATATATTTAAGTTTTAATTGTTCTTGATTTGTAAAAAATATATAATAAATTCTGCAGCAACTGGCACAGAGCAGTAACTCTGCTTCTCTAGGCAGATTGCTTTACTACAGAAACAATGACTGTCATCTTATAACCATTTCCAAACCAGCAGTCCAAACGATGTTAATAGAACAGCCCAAACATGAACTGTTAGGTTCATCAAACACAAGCAGACATCTGTGTGCTATAAAACCAAAAGCTAAGACACATTCCATTACCACCTTTATATCCTGAAAGGTTGAGTATATTTATTGCCAATATGACTTGTAGTTTTCAAGAAAAGAAATTTAACAATCTGTGGATAGAGGATACTGGCAATATCTGGAGTTTTTCATGCAGAGGAAGAACCTCTCATAGGCTGAGGCCATTTTAGTCGAAGTGAACATGGAGAGAGCGTACTCCTTGCAGGCCATGCCTTTGTTCCGCCAGACGTTAGGTCCATCTCTTATTGTCAACTCCAAGGCCTCAACAAAGGATTTCACATTGGGCGAAAATGTGTATCCGAATTCTTCCTTCACCACCACTGTTCCAATTATGCTTGGATAATTGGGGGTCAAAACTGGCTTCCCACAATGCATTGCTTCGATTAGTGTAAGATCAAGTCCTTGAGGTCTTAATGTGGGATTGACAAACACATCAATTGCATTGTAGAATTCAGACAGTTGAGAGGAATCCATGGCACCTAAGGTCTTGACATTAGGGCCTAACTCAGCATACCTTTTCCCCCATGGGCCGGATCCTGCCACAAGAAGAAACACACCAGGATGGCGTTTGATGATCAATGAGAAGGCCTCGTACAGAAGTGGATGCCCTTTGTCCCTAACCAGCCGCCCCGCAACTCCCATCACAAGGCTTCCATTGTCAGGGACACCGTATTTTCTTCTAAACCTTGCGCCAGCATCTGGGTCGTGCACAAATTTGGTATTGTCCACTCCATTTAGTATGACATGAACATTTCTGAAGGGCAGCTGGTAGACGCTGACTAATACCTCACCAGCACTATGGCTTATACAGACGTGTTGTTTGTAGCTTGAGAAGAATCTGATCTCATCAATAAGCCGTGGCATTGCTTCTTGAAGCTCTGTCATGGGTCCCGGCAAAGCCCCATCTGGATTTGTAAATAGCTCTTCAAATAATTTTGAGTGCATGATTTCGTACCAAATCCCATGCCATGTTACAGCCACATTAGGCACCAGTTTAGCCCTCCAATGTGGCAAGGAAACACTCTCAGTATGCACGTAATCAAACTCCCCATTTGCATTTATTTTGTTGAATATCTCAAATGCCAAAGAGCAATTGACTGAACCATGATCATTGGCAGCGAAGTAGACATGAAGATTACCTTCGTGGATATCAAGGTGAGGCTTCCTATCTGATGGAGCAGTAAAAACATGAATTTCATGACCCCTGGCAGCAAGAGCATGGTAGAGAGTGGAAGCATGGCGTTCCATACCACCAGGGCCGGCATCAAGTGGCCATGTCTTGGAGAAAACTGCAAGTTTGAGCTTCTCAAACGTCGGTCCAAAGCAAAGCTTGTTCCAAGCAAATTTAACATCTCTGAGGTCGCCATTAAATGAGTCTTTCTCTGCCAAAACTGATGGTTCTTGTAAGTATCTAAGCATAGAAATGAAAAGAAAACACGAGCTAAAGAGAAAGCCTAAAGTGAGAATGGTTGAATATCTAACAGAGAAGAGATTGGAAGATGAAGAGCTCTTGCAAGCTTTGTATTTCAACCCCATTTCCAGAAGAAGTCTCAAAGGATACTTGATTTTATTTTTATTTTTATTTACGAGAAAGTCTTAAAATGAAAGCTTTGTATTTATATATTACCAAGGCTTGAATATAGGGGTCGTGTACCTGCTGATATTTAATGCTTGCCACCATTGATACCGGATCTCCTCGAGCTTGTGCAATTTTATGTAGCTGCACATGGCCTCCTAGAGATTTTGTCAACTCTTCGCCACTTCGAAAATTTTTAGTGCTCCGAGTCTCTTTTTTTCAGGGAAATTGTAGCTACTACGTTTACACGAGCTTGGTGTTGATCAGTTTGAGATCATAAATGGCATAAACATAATATCTTCTCTCATATTTGAATACAATTGGATCTAAATGTAACAGGCTAAATATTTAAAACAATAGAAAAAATATATATGTTGCATATATAAATCATAGTATCCACCAAGAAATACAGAAGACTTTTCAGGCCATGGTTTTTTATTAAGAAATTCTAATCTCTTTTTCCTTGTCGTCTAGATCTCAAAAACAGGCCAATCAGTAACAAAAAATAAATAAAATAAAATAAAAAATATTGCTGCATATTTGTTTTCAACTCTTCCTCTTACAAATCCGGCTCCTCTGTAACAAAATAAATAAATAAAAGAATCTCCTTCTCTTCTTTATCTGTAAAAGAGTACTCATGAATCAACATTGGTGTTTCCTTTTTTAATCAGCTGTTTGAGAGTATTGATCTGAGTAAGAGGGAGGATTTAATTTGTACACACTAATAAGTATCTCAATGTTAATGGAATTGAATTTGATGATGTCTTGCTTGGTTTTGCGTTGTCATTTCTCATATGTGATTTTTCATTTTAATTCATATGAGAAATCTGAGGTGTTGTAAATGAAACTTGTGAGTATAATTTTAATACTCGGCCTGATTCAAGACTCGGATTCTGGATTTTGACTGGATCATTGGATTTTGATCAAGTTACTGAGTCGGTTAAGTTAAATTTTATTTTTAAAAAAATCAAAACTACATCATTTTAAAAAAAAAATTAACAGGTTTGCAACCGGTTCTTGACTGGATCACCCGGTCAACCCGTCTGGTCTGCCGAGTCACATCAAGTTTTTTTTTTGTATTTTTTCTTCAACCCAACTCGATTTCAACCCTAAATCTACTGGGTGGAGTTTCAAAACTCTGTTTATGAACATTGAATTTTTATTTTTATTTTTATTTTTTTGAAGTTGAAGGGCTTTCTTTGGTTCGAGAAATCGGTAGAATATATTGAACTTGAATAAAATAAGATGTTTAATTTTATTTGTAAGGAGGACAGAATTGTTTTTTTTCATTCTTTAACGCATACCTTTCGGCTTGTCTCTCGTATCCATCATTGTACATCATCCCTTTCTTAATTATTATTTTCTTGTTATTTTTTTTGGAGTTTAATGATTTTATTTTTAGATTAAAATGACCACATTTATCATATTATTATTATTATTATTATTATTATTAACATCTAGGACTTGGTCTTTCACTATAATAATTATCAGTAATATATCAAGATTTTTTTCACTTTAATTCTTAAGTTTTTTTTTATTTTATCTTCTATATTAAGTTTATTAGGTATTAGATTTCATAATTTATTTTTATTTTTTTATATAGAGTTATTCCGGTTTCATTATTAGTTTGCCAATTTTACGAGTAACCTATTTATTTTTTTCTCAACTTCATCCTTCAACATTAAATTGATTAGGAATTGGACTTCACGGTTATTTTTTTATTTTTATTTTTATTTTTATAAAATTATCATGGTCTTATAACATGGTTTGCAAGTTTTGTGAACTAGCCAAGTTGACTTGGCTTTTTATTTTTTTATTTAATATTTTTTTAATTTAATCATTCAATATTTGATTAATTGATAATTTAAATTCATAAGTTTTTAGTTTTTCAATGAATTTATCTCAGTCTGTTGACTACAATAAATTTATGATAAGATCATTTATTTATAATGGAATGGTTTACAAAGTCCACAGATCTCGATTGATATAAAAAAAGCTACACAAAGTATTGAGGGGAGTTCTATATCTAATCCAAGATGAACTATTGTAGGGGATTTATTGAAACCATTGAATTCAAAATAGGGTAAAGTAGCTCCTGTAGGTTTGGTAAATTAACTTGGGTTGATTCAAGTTATTTTTTTATCTTTTTATTTAATTTCTTTTAATTTTATCAATCCTCATATATTTATTTTTTTATTTAATTTTTTTTAATTTTATCGATCCTCATATATTTTTTTTCTACTAAAAAACACATTAAAAACACTTGAATATATTTTTTTTACTTTAAAAAAATAATTAATTTGACTCGCAACGTAGCACTGTCATAACCTATTCTTATATATTTAAGCTCATTTACATCTAGAATAACTTTCATTTTTCTACCTATAAAGAATGTCATTTAGTTACTACCAGCTATTAGACTTGTAATTCGTTGTGGATTGAATATTTGTTTCCAATAAAAAATTGAATACATAGGCTTTTCCAACACATTTTTTTTTTACATAAAAAATCTTAAATATAAATCAAAAAGTTTATGAATAAATCTAACTAAATAAATTGAAAATTATATGTGTAAATAAATAAAAAAAGATTCATTAAAGATAACTAAAAACAAAATAAAAAAAATCAAGAAATAGACGTAGATCAATATATTTGATCTTGCAACATGCGTAATTTACTTAGCTGTATTTAATGAATTTAATTATTAATATTATTTTTTTATTAAATCAAATGATAATAGAAAAAAGAACATACACATAAAATTAATTGAATAAAATCAAAGAAAAACAATTATGCAAGCCTGCACATATTATAAATATTATCTAAAAATGAATATTTTTTATTTTTTAAAATAAAGTTAATCTATATAAAAAACTTCATAGATAAACCAAAATAATCTCTTTAAAAATTAAATACAAAAAATAATTAAAAAAATATAATAACCTCTATTTAAAGAACTGTTAATAAAAATCAAAAATTAATTGAAATATAACTTTAAAACAATCATTTAAAAAAATGTAAAAAATATATCATTCAAAAAAATTCAATTAACAAAAAAAACATGAAAAATATCAACTATTACTTCACCCATTTAAAAAGGGCTTGTGTGCAAGCCTACTAGAGTAGGGTTGTGCTCGTGGGCCTTTATTTTCTTAAAAAGTTAATGGGTGGGGCAATATGTGTTTCGCTCCAAATTGTTTTGAAAACAAAATACACCAAACAATGTGTCATATACCTCATGCATTGTTTATTGAGGTAGAAACATGTTGTATGCTTTTCCCAGATTCTAATAACATTTATTAAATTGTTTCGGATCAACTTGGATTATTCTGTCAAATCTATTACTCGTCATAAGACACTAAATAGAAAGAAAATAAAAAAAATGTTAAACTCAATTATCAATCAACCCAATATTAAAGAATAAAATAAAAAATCAATAAAAAATAACTTAAAAAACACTTGAGTCAACTGACCAAACTCGTGACTTGGATCATCAGACTAGAATAACTTCTTTCAATGCAAACCAAAATAAACTATGAAATCTAATTCTCAATCAATCTAATTTTAAAGCATAAAATTGAATTAAAATAAAAAAAAAAAGATAAAGAAAATCCAAGTCAGTTAGCCTAATATGCGACTCTGGTTATAATATCTTAATAACCTTATGCAAGGCAAATAATAAAACTAATAAAGCCTGATTTTCAATCAACTCAATCTTGAATAATTGAATTGAAAAATAAATAAAAAATAACTTGAGTCAACCCAAAGTCAATTTTCAAACTCGGGTCAAGAGACCAAAATAATTTCATAAAAAATAAATAAAAAAATTATAAATTTCAATCATCAATTAATATAATGTTGAAAGATGAAAGTGAAAAATATATTCAATTAGAAAAATTAAAAAGAAAAACCAAGTCAGCCTACTTAACTCAATTCGCGATCAGGATTATAAGACTATAATAACTTTATACAAAATAAATAAATAAATAATAAAATTATGTTATCATCCAAGATCACAATGAAGGATAAAAATAAAAAAAAAATAACTTGAATCAATAATCACTGTTGCAAGTATATTATGATCCAACAGACACTTATATTTAAAGATCGAGCTTCTCATTTGTTAAATAAATCACAACTACTTTCAATTTATCTCATATAAGCATCTTTTACACCTCCAAGTTTTTATCTTTTTCATGATGTATTTTTATATTAAAACTTTCATTTAAAATCATAACCAAATAATCATTCGCTAGTAAAGTAAAAAATTATTTTGTATTCTATCTAGTCCTAAAAGCAAATGTGTTAGGGACACTCAGACGGCCCCATATTTGGCCCAAAAAGCTGCAAAGCCAGCAAGAGAAATCCTAAAATGAAACAAACAAGCTAAGGTGGCGTTGCCCAGTTACACTTGGCTCTTATCTCCTTTCAGAAATTTTAGCACGCAATTTAGAGAGAGAAATGAAATCTGACTGGGAAAGAAAGAAGATAAGAGTGAGTGAGTAAGAGAGATCCATAAGAGTCGGTTTGGAGCGAGAATATGGGCAAAAATGCGTCATATCATATCATGTCTATATGTGTATTGTTAGTGCTTCAGATTTCCGATGGTTTGGATTTAATGTCCTTGTATTTTTTCAAGTAATCAGTCTCTCCGACAATAAAACTTCAACTGGTCTCGGAAAAATCAGAAACAGCCTCAGATTCTCTTCTTCTTCTTCACTCTCTACACTTCCCATACCGATAATGGCACCATAACTTGGGAGATTTTTGGTAATCTTTTTCTGTTTGTTTCATTTCCTTTTTGAAACTGGGTCCTCGAAGTTGCTCTAGATTTTGCTGTTGTAATCGTCAGATTGTGGTTTCTTCAAACTCAAGAGTTGGGGATGTTGCTCTCTCTCCTCCCTCTCTCGGTCCTTGTATTTCTTTTAACTTCTTCCAAGCTCTGTCCTTTATAACAAGAATAGTCGAGAAAGAACAAAACGTACAGGGGTGCAGTGATATACACCAGTTCTAGCAGCAGCAGGAAAATCA